AATAGCCAGGACAATTTTTAATATAACTCCGACTGGATTCGTCTGAAAGAAGAAAGTCATATACACCTAGGTTGCTTCGAGGCTGAGTAAAACACAAGCCAATTTTCATTTTTGGGTGAACTAACCCTTTAAATGTTCCTCAAAATATATTATTTTGTTTTCAACAAAAGAAAGAAACGCATACAGCATAGGAACAACATGAGGGTTAATTATGAAAACAATTTAATCATCAGATGAAATATTCCTAATAGAAATTGTTAACACACTGTGCATAGAAAGATGTACTGTATATTTAAAAAAATATGTTTATATTACCTGTAGGCCTAAGCACAATTTCTTTTTTGTACAACATAAATATTAAAAGAAAAAATTTGTTTTATTTAAAGAAATCAGAGAGAAGCCATGCAGCAGGCAAAATCACAGATGTCTGTCCTCTAAATGTAAAATGCCACTGACACAGCAGCCTGATGTGGTCACTGATGATTAAATATGTCAATGAGTCACACTGCAGTCTCTCTGGGCACAGAACATTCCCAGAAGACACAACAAGCAACACATACTCTAATCAGACACACTGTCAGTGCAATGCTGGATGAGCTGTGAAACTCACATTATAGACAACACATTCACCTGCAAGAAAACAATACTGTACAAAGTGCATATTATTACAATAATAATGACTTCCATTCTCGCTTGGTCTGCAATAGCGTAATGGAATGCACTGAACAGTGTGCACGGGGGTAGGCAAATACATATGCTGACAGGTGGTAGGACAGCCTGTTGTAGCCCTCGGACCGAGCGATATGATTGAACGAACATTTCATGGTCCTACGCCTTCCACATACAATATAAATACATTTAGACCACTTAACTTAGTGATTGCTATTGGGACGTGAAGACACTTTTAACCAGCATAACAAAAAATATTTTTGAACCAAATCACCTACCCTGCATTTAAACATTAAACTAATATGTAAACCCAATTAAATTGAAACACAGCCACAACATCAAAAACAGTTGGTATTGAGCAAACGTCAATTTATTTTTTGTTAGTCAAGGCAGGTGTGATTTACTGTATTCATGTACGTATTAAAGAAAGCAGGGAAAACTCCCGTTCAATAGCTCACATCTTCAAACAACACAAAGCGGTGATATTTTGTTCCCCAATGAATCCCTGTTTAATGAATTGGCTAAATTGGTTGAGTAAATCATCAATGGTTTACTCAAAAAACACGGTTATTTATCACTGGCATAAAAATGTAACGTACAAAAAGGGTCAATGAAAAATCCCAGCCATTCAAGCACAAAACACCACTCGAAAATCTAATTCGAAGTCCAGAACTAATACTGTGTAACGCTGAAATATTGTACATTTTAAACGTTTTTATAAACACAAGGCTTTCCTGGCAGGTACTGTGCAATGCAGACAGTAGTTACTGCTATGATATCATAGTCTGCTGGAACATGTTGAAACTGGAGCATTTCTTCATGACTTTAGGAGACTTTAAGCAGAGGAGAGATGAGCAAGGCTTTGGACACTGTATGTTATATGGATATATCTGTACCCACTGAAACCAGTTTCATTGTCCTGTCACATGACCAACATAAAAAAAATCATATGAAAGATTGAAGAACATGTGAAAGACAGTTTAAGACAGATATGCCGTCTGTCCAGACACACATATGACGCTGCACAGATGGTATACTTTCACACAGGCTGCAACAAGCACAGCTGCTGCCTCCTGTTCCCTCAGTTGTGTCACCTGTTGTGTGTCAACACAGTGGAAAGCTGTAAGCTGCTGTTGGGGTCATAAAACCAGTGATATCATGATTAGTTGTCATGGTGACCAGGGGGCCTGGTGTTCAGCAGAAATCCTGGCATCCAGTTTATTGAGTGAGGGGACTGTGACGATTTGTTAATCTAATGAATAATTGATTTGTTAAATCAAATAAAAATTAGTGTGTCAGATTGGTCGAGATGCTACAACGGCTTCTGTGTATGACAGATAACGGAAGTGAAAGAAAAGTGTTTATTACGTTTGAAATATGGATATTTTTCTTCCAAAAACGCATGGATTCACTACAGAAGGCCTTTATTCACCCCCGTAGCCGTGTGAGGCACATTTTATTATGAATGCGTGTGCTTTATTTGACGACTTGTGGACTGTTCAACTGCAACACCCGCTGACTGCAATGATAAAGCTTGGAATAGCCAGGACAATTTTTAATATAACTCCGACTGGATTCGTCTGAAAGAAGAAAGTCATATACACCTAGGTTGCTTCGAGGCTGAGTAAAACACAAGCCAATTTTCATTTTTGGGTGAACTAACCCTTTAAATGTTCCTCAAAATATATTATTTTGTTTTCAACAAAAGAAAGAAACGCATACAGCATAGGAACAACATGAGGGTTAATTATGAAAACAATTTAATCATCAGATGAAATATTCCTAATAGAAATTGTTAACACACTGTGCATAGAAAGATGTACTGTATATTTAAAAAAATATGTTTATATTACCTGTAGGCCTAAGCACAATTTCTTTTTTGTACAACATAAATATTAAAAGAAAAAATTTGTTTTATTTAAAGAAATCAGAGAGAAGCCATGCAGCAGGCAAAATCACAGATGTCTGTCCTCTAAATGTAAAATGCCACTGACACAGCAGCCTGATGTGGTCACTGATGATTAAATATGTCAATGAGTCACACTGCAGTCTCTCTGGGCACAGAACATTCCCAGAAGACACAACAAGCAACACATACTCTAATCAGACACACTGTCAGTGCAATGCTGGATGAGCTGTGAAACTCACATTATAGACAACACATTCACCTGCAAGAAAACAATACTGTACAAAGTGCATATTATTACAATAATAATGACTTCCATTCTCGCTTGGTCTGCAATAGCGTAATGGAATGCACTGAACAGTGTGCACGGGGGTAGGCAAATACATATGCTGACAGGTGGTAGGACAGCCTGTTGTAGCCCTCGGACCGAGCGATATGATTGAACGAACATTTCATGGTCCTACGCCTTCCACATACAATATAAATACATTTAGACCACTTAACTTAGTGATTGCTATTGGGACGTGAAGACACTTTTAACCAGCATAACAAAAAATATTTTTGAACCAAATCACCTACCCTGCATTTAAACATTAAACTAATATGTAAACCCAATTAAATTGAAACACAGCCACAACATCAAAAACAGTTGGTATTGAGCAAACGTCAATTTATTTTTTGTTAGTCAAGGCAGGTGTGATTTACTGTATTCATGTACGTATTAAAGAAAGCAGGGAAAACTCCCGTTCAATAGCTCACATCTTCAAACAACACAAAGCGGTGATATTTTGTTCCCCAATGAATCCCTGTTTAATGAATTGGCTAAATTGGTTGAGTAAATCATCAATGGTTTACTCAAAAAACACGGTTATTTATCACTGGCATAAAAATGTAAAAACGTACAAAAAGGGTCAATGAAAAATCCCAGCCATTCAAGCACAAAACACCACTCGAAAATCTAATTCGAAGTCCAGAACTAATACTGTGTAACGTTTTTATAAACACAAGGCTTTCCTGGCAGGTACTGTGCAATGCAGACAGTAGTTACTGCTATGATATCATAGTCTGCTGGAACATGTTGAAACTGGAGCATTTCTTCATGACTTTAGGAGACTTTAAGCAGAGGAGAGATGAGCAAGGCTTTGGACACTGTATGTTATATGGATATATCTGTACCCACTGAAACCAGTTTCATTGTCCTGTCACATGACCAACATAAAAAAAATCATATGAAAGATTGAAGAACATGTGAAAGACAGTTTAAGACAGATATGCCGTCTGTCCAGACACACATATGACGCTGCACAGATGGTATACTTTCACACAGGCTGCAACAAGCACAGCTGCTGCCTCCTGTTCCCTCAGTTGTGTCACCTGTTGTGTGTCAACACAGTGGAAAGCTGTAAGCTGCTGTTTTAACTGCCACTCACTGCTGACTCACCAATTCTCTACCAGAGTAATGCTGAGGAGACCAAGAGGAACTTTCCACTATAGATCAATTTTGGTTAATGTTCAGTGTTATTAACCAAATAATAACAGGCTAAATAATAAACATAAAAAGTCATTAAACTATCAAAAACAAAACTGACATGTAACAAAACACTTCAGCTGATTTTTCATAACTCAGCAAGTTTATTAACCCACTGATTCTTGAGCATTGTGAAAAAAAACCCCTACAAAATAAAAAACGGGTTTATTTATCAAGTTATTAATCTAGGTTAATCTGTTCAGCATGTTAAGAGGTATTTATGTATGACTTGAGGGCAACTCCTTCCATTTTCTCACAGAATGTGTTTTCCTTTGCTGTCAAATATGGGTCAGCACCATTGGATAAATAAATAATGTGACAAAAATGTATTATTAATATTGTTAAAAAATGCATTCACTTTATTGAGTGAATTAATCGGGAGTACAGAATGCTTTTAAAGATGAATTCAAACATTTGACAGGACTGACATCTAGTAGTGTAGTGTTCACAATTGATTTCACACATGTATGATCCCATTTTTATATTTGGGTGTATCTACTAACAGGACCTATTTACAATTGATCGGAATAGGTTAATAAAATCAAATATATGTTGCAATATAAACATGTAAAGAAATGTCCAAAATGTAAAAGATGTTTTTGATATTGTTTGATTTTCTTATCCTAAATATCTGTGCTGACAAAAAGTAGGAACAAAGTTGCAAAAAGCAAAAACAAGGTAGCCTAACTTTAGGGGAAGTGAGTGATAATTCAATGAAATTGAAATGGTACCTTTGCGATAATATTAGGTAGCCTACTGTAGCCTGAAATTCCAGAAAGTCGCAGAAGTTCGCTGTCTTGTGGAACTGAAGCACGAATCTGAAATCTGTCACAGCCCTAAATAGGCTAATAAAGTTTTAATCTTCGTTAATAATTTTAACAGTAATAACTGTCCTACCTGCTGAATTTCTTCTTCTCGTAATGACAGCATTTGAAAAATCTGCATCTCCATCTTCATAGCGGGCTTCAGCCATTAGTAGGCTATAACAATATGTCCGTGTTCCGTATATAGCACAAAACTAACGAGATTGATGAATTCTCCCTCTCGCAGACGATAAAAACGCGGACTTAATAAATCTCTTACTTAATGAAAGGTAAGTTCTATGACTAGAGTTAGGCTATCGCAGATTTGTGTCTGTTAAACGGAGAGTGATGAACTGAACCCTGAGCTCGGCGCGAGCATCTTTACAAACACACAATATGCTGTGCACGCGTGTCTGTGCATGCTGTTCAGCAGAGGGCGGGAAAAAATCTGACCAAGGTAGGCTAACTTATTTTCTAAAAAGAACTTACTCCAGCTGCTGCTATATATATATATATACAGTCATGTGAAAAAGAAAGGACATTCTTTTGAATTCCATTGTTTTCCATATCAGGACATAATTCAAAAAAAAAAAAATCTGGTCCTTGGCAGGTCTTCAAATTTGGAAAATAAAAGCTCAGATGAACAACAACACATGACATATCACACAGTGTCATTATTTATTTAAAAAACAACTAGGCCAAAATGGAAAAGCCATGGGTGACAAACTATGGATACCCTTACTGTTAACATATATAGCCTAAAGAGGGTAAGTAACAGTCAGGCACTGCTAAGCAGATACCTTTGATTAACTGATCATCAGCAAGTGTGAGCATCTCTATGACAGCAGAAGTTTTGGCCGTTTGCTGGTCTGGAGCCTTCAGGTGTGTGTTTACACAATGCCACAGAGGAAAGACATCAGCAATGATCTTAAAAAAGCAATTGTTGCTGCCATAAATCTGAGAAGGGTAATAAGGGCATTTCCAAACCATCTTTCCAAAACCAATCTTCCCATGAGTGGACGTCCTGTGAAATTCACCCTATGGTCAGACCGTACAATATTCGGAGGAATTGCAGACAACCCAAGAACTACACCTCAGACTCTACAGGCCTCAGTTTACATGTTAAATGATAAAGTTTGTGACAGTACAATGAGAAAATACCAGACAAGTATGGCATGTTTGGACGGGTTGCCAGAAGAAAGCCTCTTCTCACTAAAAAGAACATGACACACTAGCCTAGGTTACATACGCTATCATGGCACGGATAGCTAAGGTTTGCAAAGTTGCTATGAATGTTGGGACAAAACTGCTTCCATACTGAGATTTTAAAATCTCATAGGTGTTGGGTGAAGCCCTGCCTGCTGCGCTAAAATGTCTGCTAACGAGGTACTATTCTTTGTTTGGAGACAGCCTTCCCCTTCTGCAGTCCACTAAAGCGAACAAAGAGCTGATCTGATCTGATTTAAAGCTCTGTTTGTGATACAGGTAAATGCATAACAGATATACTGTAGGGCTGGGTCTCCTTCATCAGGAGGGATCACTTGCAAGGTTACCACTTGATTCCTGAAAGGGGTAGTGGGAACCTTACCCTGCCAGGCTGGGGTCTCAGTCTGCCGGCCTGAACTACTGTAAGCATGTCTTGTTGAAGGAGAGGGCTTGTAAGTCGGGTGAGCAGACAGAGGTGATAGCAGTCAGGAGGGCTCTCTCTCTCTCTCTCTACACACTTAAAGAGCACACTATATTTGAAAAGCTCTATGGCAAATGAATCATTAAATCACATGAACCACTGGTGCTTGAACTGTTGTTGCATATGGCATATATATTTTTATTTTATTTTCTGCTTACACATTTTAGTTGTTGAACTGATATTGCAATTATCCGTATTTTAAAATGATTTTCAAGGTTCTTTGATTTTCAGTAATGCATAGTAAGTGATGCACTGCTGCCCTCTTGTGTTTGTTTTCAAATAGTCAGTCTGAATATTTTTTTTGTGATTAAAGGCACAATATGTCAGATTTTTAAATTAAAATATCCAAAAACCACTAGAACAGTGTAATATATTTTGCTGACTTGTGTACTTTCATTATCCCAAATGTTTCGAAGAATGTTTAAATCCAGAGAAATAAGCAATTTTAACTAGTGACACGGAGCGTGTCCATAGTGTCATTGTGTCGCCTGCCAATGAAGTCATAACCCCTCGATTTCCGTTTTGTTTTGTAGAAAACATGGAAACACCAAAGATGCTTTAATATGTTATGGGTTTTATTAGACAGGTGATGACCACACAGAGTAGCATTATAAGAGAACTTTCAAATGTATCTAGTCTGATAAAACAGCGCTGCTTTTTTCCCCCACATACGCACGACCGGAAGGAGTGGAAGCGGTCAACTGTGGCATAATAAAAGCTCCGCTGCTTTCGAGTCGTGTGTCACGCTCGTTCAGCGGCCTCGTTTCGTTTCGACGGCTTTCAGCCTCACCCTGCTTCATTCTACTACGTTAATAAATCATTAGCTCATCCATGAACATGATTTCTGCCCGAGTCCCATCGGAATGCATCGGCTGTGGGGATGAAGACAACAACTCCCATGATTCCACACTCAGTCACAGCGTCATCAAACTACGCCTTTGTCTCTTTGTTTATTTTGAATACGCGCCCTCCAGCGGCGAAAATTGCATATTGTGCCTTTACCTTGGAAAGCTGACATGGAAAAAATTATAGAAACATTCAATGCTTTTTATAAGAAAATAAGTAAGATAACCTTCTTATTTTCTACTTTTTCTCTGATAGTGTTAAAGTAATCAAATGACATGCGTTTATGATCAAAACACTCACAAAAAAGATAATGTGCTGGAGAAATGCTGTCCTCTTTCCTCTGAGAATGACAATCAACTACTAGCCTTTGATGACATTTAGATGCACCAGGAGCAATCTCTAGTGGTAGACTTCCTTCCAAGCTTCTCTGACAGCTGGTAGCTTTGGCATTTTTTTCCGCGAATAAGCTGGCAACCATCAGCACAAAGTTCTCTACACCCCACAACCAGTCACTGCTCTCTACAAACTGATCTCCTTCTCTCCTTTCATGTATAACGATGTCTAGACCATATTTTACAAGATGTCTCACCCTCTTGCCATCCCTTTTACCTGCACTCACACACATCAACAACACAACTGAAGTAATCCCACTGCAGTTCCATGTCACTGAAACTCTGTGGCTGGCAAAAGCTTCAACATTTCTGTCCTTATTCTGCTGGACCACCACAACCTCCTGTCCACACTTTCAGATCTAGTTATCACAGAAATTACACCTCACCCATCAGTCAATTGTAATATCACTGTTCGACTGGTTCTACAGCAAAAACACCAACCAGAATAGCCTGGAACAATTCAACTTTACAGCACAACTGCTCAAGACTGCACTATAAGCCTTCAATCCAGCACAATGTGTACATTGTTCTGCTGTGTATTGTTACAGTTACATAGCTTTCTCTATTTAAATTTATAGTGTTTACAATGCAGCCTGCATTTTTTAGGCTAGGTGTACATACACAATACAACTCTTGACACCGCACCACAGATGGCACACATTTTCAAACACTGTTACAGTCCTGGTACAATAATGATTTTTTCCCCCCCTTTCTTTCTTTTTTTTTTTTTGTTCAATCAATGCATAATTTATCTTCTTTTATTCAGTTTGACATTTTCTGAATTCAAAGTTTTAGATAGCTTTTTTTTTCAGTGTATATCAATAAAGTCTGATTTCTGTAAAGCCACTTTTTAGGGCTTCTCTTGGGCTGTGTTCTCGTGCCATTTACGTTTTGACCAGCAGGTGTCGCCAGCGTGCGATGTTTCGAGCGCTTCCAAACCCCAGTTCCTAAAAGTGAGTCATTTTGCGAAGCAATTAGTCTAATAATTTGACATGCGTTTATGATCAAAACACTCACAAAAAAGATAATGTGCTGGAGAAATGCTGTCCTCTTTCCTCTGAGAATGACAATCAACTACTAGCCTTTGATGACATTTAGATGCACCAGGAGCAATCTCTAGTGGTAGACTTCCTTCCAAGCTTCTCTGACAGCTGGTAGCTTTGGCATTTTTTTCCGCGAATAAGCTGGCAACCATCAGCACAAAGTTCTCTACACCCCACAACCAGTCACTGCTCTCTACAAACTGATCTCCTTCTCTCCTTTCATGTATAACGATGTCTAGACCATATTTTACAAGATGTCTCACCCTCTTGCCATCCCTTTTACCTGCACTCACACACATCAACAACACAACTGAAGTAATCCCACTGCAGTTCCATGTCACTGAAACTCTGTGGCTGGCAAAAGCTTCAACATTTCTGTCCTTATTCTGCTGGACCACCACAACCTCCTGTCCACACTTTCAGATCTAGTTATCACAGAAATTACACCTCACCCATCAGTCAATTGTAATATCACTGTTCGACTGGTTCTACAGCAAAAACACCAACCAGAATAGCCTGGAACAATTCAACTTTACAGCACAACTGCTCAAGACTGCACTATAAGCCTTAAATCCAGCACAATGTGTACATTGTTCTGCTGTGTATTGTTACAGTTACATAGCTTTCTCTATTTAAATTTATAGTGTTTACAATGCAGCCTGCATTTTTTAGGCTAGGTGTACATACACAATACAATTCTTGACACCGCACCACAGATGGCACACATTTTCAAACACTGTTACAGTCCTGGTACAATAACGATTTTTTTCCCCCCTTCTTTCTTTTTTTTTTTGTTCAATCAATGCATAATTTATCTTCTTTTATTCAGTTTGACATTTTCTGAATTCAAAGTTTTAGATAGCTTTTTTTTTCAGTGTATATCAATAAAGTCTGATTTCTGTAAAGCCACTTTTTAGGGCTTCTCTTGGGCTGTGTTCTCGTGCCATTTACGTTTTGACCAGCAGGTGTCGCCAGCGTGCGATGTTTCGAGCGCTTCCAAAACCCAGTTCCTAAAAGTGAGTCATTTTGCGAAGCAATTAGTCTAATAATTCAGTTTCAAAAAGCGTCGTTTCTCCCATCACTGAGTGCTTTTGGCTTTTTAAAATCACTGGTGTTTTTAGTATGGATTCCTTCAGAATTCTACTGAGACAAGCGCTCTTCTTCTGGGATATATTACAGTTGGTTTTTGGTTCATTACCGCCACTAACTGGACAGGAGTGGGGATCTTATGGTGGGGGGCGCACCAAAGGAAAGAAAAAATAAATGTACTCTCATTTTTGGTAGTCTACGGCCATACTGAACCCAGTCAACCCATAGAAAAGACAACACACTTTATGAAGACATAATCGAATATTATATGTATTTATAATCATATATATATACATATATATGTATATATATA